GGCGCCTTTTAGGCGCATCCTCTAAATTTAGTTCTTCCGGCAGAAATAAAAATGTAATTTCAGATGATAAAGCATCCTTCGGACTAAGCGCTCCCTGGACTAAGCGTCCTTCGGACTTAGCGTCCCTTGGACTTAGTCTTTCAGACACCTTTTCAGCGCCTTTCAGGTGCCCCTCAGACACCCCTTTGACGCTTAGACTTTCTGGCGCGTTATCATCTCCAGGAATATATATATATCTACCAATCCTATTTCACCAAAGTTTATGTGTTTAAGTTTATCAAAACTAAAAGATACCCCATCTTTTAAATTTTCTTTCAGTTTGTACAGCATTTATTAGCAATCATAAATTATAAATTTATGTATCTAAAGATTTTAATTTAATTAATTATTTTCCATTTGTCTAAATACTTTATTTGCATTTCTAATAGATAATTATGGAAATAGTCCATAATAATCAGTATTTGTTTTTTTTTACATGTTTTGAATTCAATTTAATTTTTTCACCTATATCATAAAACCAAGCTTTCTTCAATTTTTGTTTTTGATAAGATGATAGGTTTAATTCCATTTAATAACGATATTTAAAGAGTGGTATTTTGGTGTGTTGAAAGTTTCTTCACGTGGGACATCGAAATTATAATGTACAAATGGCATCATTTTATCTACATGGGTTAGTCCTTCGTCGCGTCCTTTGGATGCCTTATTATTTCTAATCTGTTCTTTTAATGTTTCATCTAGAAATTTGTTCTCTTTAACTGTTCTATATATATCCATACCCGAACTCATAAGATAATATAAACCAACAAATATCATTGGGAGAGTTGCTAACCAAATGTTTTTAGTTGATTTTGGTGGTGGAAAAAAATCCGGTCCAGAACGTATGCTTTTATATACTACTCATCAGATAGATTAATAACGATATGCAGCACAAAATAAAATAAGTTACTATTTTTTGTAATAAATATGTAAATTGTAGCTTGCAAATATTAAAAATGTTTACACATTTTTTTATAATTGTTTCTTCCCATAAATATCTCAAAATATATTCCCATTTTGTATATTTATTTGAAGCTGGTCCTTTACTAGGACCATTATCTTTATAAATTGCATTAGTTTTATAAATTATATTCTAATACTTTTTTATAGCATCTTCACCATAAATATCTTTATATACATATATTGTAAGATTTGAAAAGTTTTATTCATTTTTGAAGAAAATAACAAAAAAATTGGAATCATTAATCAAGTTTTATATTGAATTGTATTTATATTGTATTTGACACATTATACACACTTCAATTGTAAATAATCGAAATGTGTTCCCACATTATGGCAAATTGCCTATTTTTATCAAACATCCAGATATCGATTATTCCGTTTCGACCCCTATTATCTTTGATCCATAGCTCAGTAGAAATATTAGAAAATTCCTTCATATCACATGTTCTACTCAGGACCATAAACATTAGGCCTTGTAAAGAATTTTCGCTATATTCTGTCGGATATTGGTTCTCAAACCCTTTGAAAAGGGATTTGAGATCATTATATAACAAGATCAATGTTTTTCTAAAGTTGACTATATCTCTCCGTAGAAAATATCTTTGAAGATTACTGATATGTCTTGCACAAGCTTCCTGAAGTGCATTATTAAACTTGCCAACCATAACATTAGCTGTCTTCAGCATCTTTAGAAAACACTTGCTTGTAGTTTGATTGGGAATTCTGAGCTTCCATCTAAATTTAGAATATCTGAGGCAATGTCAATATCAGCTAGTATCTTTTCGTACGTACTAAGCAGAGGAGGAGCTTCTACTTCTAACATCTTTCCACTAATCATCAAATAAATAGCAACTATATAGAGAGGGTATATGCATTTCTGCCCTATTTTTGTGTGGAATCCGTTGAAGTCTATCTTTATTTCATGTTTTTTCCTTTCTAGTTCGTCATCAATGAGTTTCAGTGACCCTCTTATTTTCTTTAAAATGTCATCAAGCTGTTCTTCATGAAGACCGTAAAATGGAACAATATTCTTTCTTAGAAAGCCTGTTGCAACATCAGGGGTATCATCTAGAAATCTGCATGCAACTGCTTTGACATCTTGAGTGTATCCTGCACCACTTATATAGGAAACTCCTGTAAGCAGCATTCCTTGAATCATTGCCTGAGCAATGTCTCCCTTTGTAATCCGATACAAAATTGTTGACATAAGTTGAGCGATTCGCTCTACTTCACAATCAGAAGCACCATCACGTAGTGCAGATACGACAACTGCGTCACATTTATCAATAAGAACCTAAACGCGCTTTTCCTCATGTGCCTGATATAGATATTTACACAAGCCTCTCAGACGACTTTTCACATTTTGTTCGCCAACGTCTTGATATATCTTGGATTCAAACCACATCTCGCACAAATTTCTATGATTTTTATTTTGGATATTCTTCAGCAAGAATGCCTCATGCCTTTCGGAAGCATCCTTAATGCTCATGTAACAATGCGCCAATGCATCTTCATATTTACAAATTGTAGAACCTTTGAGGTCCACAAACAGGACAGGATGAGCACCTAAGTGGTTCTTCAGATCCTCTTCTTTTCCCTTTGTTACAATATCCTTGTCCTTGAAGATTTCATACTGTGGCCTCTTCTTCCAGTCTGGTTCTACTTTTCCTTCTTTGTAATATGTAAATTGTAGCTTGCAAATGTTAAAAATGTTTACATATTTTTTTATAATTAATTTTTATATACATATATTGTAAGATTTGAAAAGTTTTATTCATTTTTGAAGAAAATAACAAAAAAATTGGAATCATTAATCAAGTTTTATATTGAATTGTATTTATATTGTATTTGACACATTATACACACTTCAATTGTAAATAATCGAAATGTACATCAATTTGCTTATAAATAAAACAAAAATTATAAATATTATCTATGTTTATTATAAATAGAAAAATAATACATAATACATTATAATACATTATATTAGGAATAATATATTATAATATAATATACATTTAATATTATTACTTATTTATTTTATTTTTTACTTATTTTCATATGATTACTTGCGTTACTTTAATATTACATTTGCAAATTTGTAATATCTATTTAAGAAAATATGAATTGCGGTTACTTATATAATATGAAAATAATTTTTTATAATTGCCGCTTCCTTTCTTACAATTTAAATATTAGCGCGCTATTGCCACCAAGAACATGGCGGCATGACACATGATTTCAGCATAGATATATAGACTGAATTCATGAAGGAAGAGTAAGGAGAGTTATCTCGATAGTGTAGAGAGAAAAAAAGTGGTCACAAAAAATGTTCCGTATGTGGCCAGGTTTGCCAAATGGAATGACTTGGACCAATCTTAGGCCGGTATTCATAGTCAGTTCTTATTTCAAGACCGTCTTAAGTAATGTCTTAAGATGCTAATACGGCTCTGTGATTGGTTTAGGACATCTTAAGATTGTGCTTAAGACGGTCTTAAATATAAGAACTGACTATGAATACCGGCCTATAGGTCCAAGTTATTCCATTCGGCAAACCTGGCCACATACGGAACATTTTTCGTGACCACTTTCAATCTAGGTAGATAACTCTCCTTACTCTTCCTTTATGACTGGATTGAGCATTGCGAAATAAACAAACGCGCGCCTGCTGTAGAAAGAGAGGTACTATATGGGAGGCCTATGTTTGTCTCTTTTCCTAGCATCTCATTGGTTATTTTCTATATGGAGGAGGACAAAATCACCAATGAGATGCTAGGAAAAGAGACAAACATAGGCCTCCCATATAGTATCTCTCTTTCTACATCGAGCGCACGTTTGTCTATCGCAACGCTCAGTCCATTCTATATGTCTATGGATTTCAGACACAAATAACCAATGAGTAAAGAATCACAGGAGAGAGTATATCGGTGGTGGGGTAGATTTATCGCGAACGGTAGTACGTCATCGCAGCCATCTTGAGCGTCCATTTTTTTCGACGTTTTTCAGGGCCGTGTACAGCCACTTGTTGCCTTACTTATTTCAGCCTGCACTTATTTTGCGCACGATCATCATTCTAAATAAGTGAAAGGAAGAGCCAATATTAGACTAAACAAATATTATTAATAAGTGTTAATTGTAAGATCATGGTGCATTGTCGAGCCTTTGAGGTACTTCCAGTATCTCTATCATGCTGCAATTCGTCCCTGAGCGGCCATCTTGAGCGTCCACTTATATATAGGCACTTCCGTCCGCTTGCTAGCACCAAATGCTCTCTCCTGTGATTCTTTACTCATTGCAAATAACAATGGCCGCGTTCAGCAGAGAAAACCGCTTAGTAGCAATCGAATGTGATTGGTTCTTACTTTAAGAACCAACAAATCAATGTCAAGTGTTGACAAGACGATAATTGAGCGCTTTCTCTGCTGAACGCGGCCAATAGGATTGACACGGAGTGTCGCTACTGATTATACATATACTGTGCCTATATACTATAATATCGGGTGCGCTCGGGTGGGGAATTAGAACACAGCCCTGATCGTGCTCATTATTCTTACCACCGCCGTAGAGTTAGCAAAGAAATTAAATATTTTCTAATTATTTTATATTATATAATTTGGGAATCGTTTGGGGAAGTTTAGGAAAATCATTTTAACATTTAGGAAACAATATTTTTTTTGTAATAATAAAAATTTATCGAGCGTCAAGTTAGCAGATCTTAATTATGTTTAATAAATATTATGAACGGAATCGATTAGAAATCATTTGGGAATAACATATTCATTAATATTTTTATTTGGGAAAGTCGCATTTTTGTAATTTAAATAAATTTGTGTATTCAAAAATATGCATTATGCGTTATGCACGCGGCATAAAGGATTCAACCAATCAGAGTCCTTTATTTCTAAAATGAAAGACTCAATAAAATATTTTCATGTGCGCTGGTCCTTAAGAGCAAGCAAAATGAACAAGATTCAACTCTATAACATTATATTACGTATGACGTCGTCGGAATTGACGACGTAGATTTTATTATTTTACTGAATTTTTATAATTTTTTTATAAACATACCTATATAGGTTAGGTGAAAATTAGTATTCCTCTATCATTTCATATCGCACTTGCGCAATAACGCAATAATCAGCTGATTTGAGTGACATGGGTTGTGAAATGGGAAAAAGAACACGTTTTTAGTATGATCTTATAAATTAAATAAATTTATATATAAAATAGCAAGAAACAATTCTCTGGTTACAAAAGATTTTATTAACACGAATGTAAGTATCATGCGATCTATCAGTTTTATTTTCGAAATATCGTGATGAAAGATTTTGTGATTATATATGAATACATAACCTATATATCTGATAATCGACAATTTCAGTGTCTTTACATTGATTTTACCAAGATGACTAAAAGGAAACTTGACGACGAGAACGATGCCACTCTAGCGGATACTCAAGTCAAGATTGCTTCTCGTTTTAAATCAGACACTGGTGAAGTACTACCTGGTGGTCTGCTAGAATTGCCAGTCAATGTTACCATAAATAAATTACAAGATATTTGCAATGCTTTGCTGCAGCAAGAAGAGCCATTACCTATGGCATTTTATGTAAATAATGTGGAGATCACAGATACATTGGAGAAATTTGTAGGCGAAGACTTTAACATTAGTGAACATGTTATGGAAATCGTGTATCAACCACAAGCGGTGTTCAAAGTTAGAGCTGTTACGAGATGCACTGGGTCCTTAGAAGGTTAATAAAAATTTTATATAGATCAAGATATTAAAAAAAAACATTAGAATGTTTTATAAACTTTTTGTTTTTGTATATAGGACACAAAGAAGCCGTTATATCTGTTGCTTTTTCACCAGATGGCAAGCATCTAGCCAGTGGTTCTGGTGATACAACAGTAAGGTTCTGGGATATCCATACACAAACACCATATTATACATGTGAGGGACATAGACATTGGGTCTTGTGTATTTCTTGGTCGCCATGTGGTTCTAAGCTTGCTTCTGCATGTAAAAATGGATCAATTTATTTATGGAACCCTCATACTGGCAAACAAATGGGTATATATTTATAAATTATATTTAATTGGTTAAACTTTTCATATTTTTTAAAGAAAAAAATTTTTTTTGGTGTTGTATAGGAAAAGCCATGACAGGACACAAAAAATGGGTGACATCCTTATGCTGGGAGCCCTATCATAAGAATCCAGAATGCCTACATTTAGTGAGTGCGTCCAAAGATTATGACATACGTATTTGGGACACAAAGAGGGCACAAACTTGTCGCATTTTGTCTGGTCATACGAAAAGTGTGACTTGCGTCAAATGGGGTGGTAGTGGTCTCATTTATTCTGCCTCTCAAGATAGAACTGTCAAAGTATGGAGAGCACAAGATGTATGTATTTTAATAAAAACTATGATATCCAAATCCAATTATAACCAATTAAATCGATTCCAGGGTGTATTATGTAGAACTTTGGAAGGCCATGCTCATTGGGTGAATACTTTAGCCTTGAATGTTGATTATGTGCTTAGGACAGGCCCTATGCAATTGGGTTCAAGTGCAAAAAATCTGTTAGAATATGCAAGAATGCGATATGAATCTGTAGGTGAAGAGAAGCTTGTGTCTGGATCTGACGATTTCACATTGTTTTTGTGGAAGCCAGAAAAAGAGAAGAAACCTATTGGTATGTTGTATCTCAAAATACACTTAAATCAATATAAAAAAGAAAATATTGCAAAAATATTTTTCTTTCAGCAAGGATGACAGGTCACCAGCAACTTATCAACGATGTTAAATTTGCGCCGAATGGTCGTATAATTGCATCTGCGTCTTTTGACAAGTCCATTAAATTGTGGGAATCTAATACCGGGATATATATCGCCTCATTAAGGGGGCATGTTCAGGCAGTTTATTCATTGGCGTGGAGCGCTGATTCTCGTCTGCTAGTCAGTGGCAGTGCAGATTCAACTTTGAAGGGTATGTAGTGTCAGATATAGAAAAACATTTATCAACTAGAACATTGTAATTAAAAATAATATTCTATATTACATCTCTTTTTTTTAATAGTTTGGAGCATGAAAACTAAAAAGTTAAGCCAAGATCTACCTGGTCATGCGGATGAAATTTATGCTGTCGACTGGTCACCAGACGGTCTACGAGTCGCTTCGGGTGGAAAAGACAAAGTGTTGCGACTATGGCAGAATTAAAAATTAATATAAACTAATTTATAAAAAAATCATGGAATGTATTTTTTTCATTCCCAAAATGATCAAATATTATTATTTTATATTAATTGAAAATACTGTTAAGCATGAAAATTAGCGATATACATATATTTTTATGTACTTGGCGTCGCGACGTTACCGCGTCGCTTGATAATTTAAAAAAAAATGAGCTTACAATATTTTAAAACATACATTATTTTTAACATTATATAAATAAAATGAATCGCGAAGCTATATAGCATATTTGACTGCCCAATTAAGTAGGAACTAAACATCAAAATTTTAATGAATCTAATACATTTTGAGATTCATGACCTAATACATTTTGACATTGTGCAAAAAGCACAGCTTTTAAACTTCTAAAATATAAAATAGATAATTAATTTTTGTATTAAAGTAAAGATTAAGAATATAATTTAATCTTAAAATCGTAAGTATTATCTTAGGCCCTGCGCACAATAGAGAAAATATTAGGAATAGGAATAAAATATTAAATATCAGGAGGAGCAATTTGGAATTATTTTACTTCAAACAAGGGAACGGAATGGATTAACACATAATGAAATAAAAAAAATAAAAATTAGAAATAATTAATCCATTCCGTTTCCTTGTTTGAAGTAAAATAATTCCAAATTGCTCCTCCTGATATTTAATATTTTATTCCTATTCCTAATATTTCTCTATTGTGCGCAGGGCCTTAATCGAACTAACTTTTTTATAGTGATTGTACCATGATTTTAATTGTACATTAATTTAAAAAAATGATTATAGACAGTATATCTAGACAGAGTGTTGAGGAATGGGAGCCGAGGTGCACGTAGAACGCAAAGGGCACGAAACAGAGTATGTCCTTTTCTACGTGCACCTCGGCTCCCACTCCTCAACACTCGGTCTAGATATACTATGTCTATGGACATAGTATATCTCAATGAGTAAAGTAAAGTAGTTCCGACTGACAACGTGTCGGGTTCGGACGTGTTTTTGCGTGCTGCGTATGTCCTTTGTCTGGACCTTTTTTGGACTCCCTCGTCTCTTAGAGGAGTTTTGCTTATATTCTACAAACCCATAAGAAACAATGGTGTATGGGCGACTAATGCCCAACCAGCCATAAAAGAAAGAAGAAGAAGAAGAACTCAATGAGTAAAGAATCACAGGAGAGAGCATATCGGTAGTGGGGGTAGATTTATCGCGAACGGTAGTACGTTATCGCAGCCATCTTGAGCGTCCATTTTTTTCGACTTTTTTCAGGGCCGTGTACAGCCACTTGTTGCCTTATGGCGAATTCGATTGATGTGCACTCGCTCCGTTTCAGTGGCTAGTAACTTTTTGTTATCAGACGCACATGTCTGGAGCGCATAGTTTAATACTGGCCCGAGTGCGGTTATTTGCACTGACCTGGGAGCGATTACAGGCACTGATCCCAATATAGTGCATTTAGTAACTTCTTTAGTGGTGCCCACATGTGCAATATGCGACTTGTAATCAACAAGAGAGCAGAGAAAAACCTACAATAATCAAAGAGAGATACTTTAAATATGAAATAATATAATAAATATTTAAACTATACATTGAAATTATGTGTGATAATACCTCTTTATCAGAATATTCATTTATAATATTTATCATATTCCGAGCTTTCGGAATTTGTGTTTCATGTCGCATTAATACTGCCATCATTTCTTCATCGCTAGAACTGCTCGAACTATTTAACAGTTCATCTAATAATAATATTTTAGCTGCCATATTTTTTCATTGGAATACTCAAATTTGCACTGAACTGCACTGTCGAAAATCTCAGTGCAATTCAGTGCCTTCTGCACTAGTGCAATGTATTTCAACCGAACGTACAAATAACACTGCACTGGGATAATGCAGTTCAGTCGAACACGTTTTCACTAGCACATATTTTTAGTGCACTATCAACCGAATACACATAAAATTCTGAACCAGTACAGGGCAAGCCAACCGAATACTAAATACTGAAAGAGTGCGCACTCAGTGCGCACTAGTGCGCACTAGTGCATCCAATCGAATTCGCCATTAGTCACTTTATTGGCTACTGTCGAAAACCTTCAGGACGATGGCTGAAATGTGATGATATGCAATTATATGTCGAAGGATGTGACGAGACAATAGTAATTACACCGATTGGGGCTATTTATATTGAGCTATGAATCTGATGCAGAGATGCCAAT